TTGTTTTGTAAGTTCAGCAGTCACTTTCTTGTGGGTCCTGTATGCCCAGTTTATACAGCAACCAACAGTCCAGGCAAGAGCAGTTTCTTGCCCAAATGGCTAATCTTGCCATGTTGAAAGCAAACTCCGTAACAAATCTTGTACAATGGGCTACCTTTACTTGTCATTATCAAATGAGAAATGTTTTATATCCATCTTCTTTAGCCTGTCTTATTTAAAGCTCAAGCCCTTCACCGCCCCATTTTGGTAGCTCCCCTTTCCCACCACAGTGATTTAAGCCTTGTGTGCAGTACAAAGACAAGGCTCTGCCACCACTGCTATCTCTTTCTCTTCTTGTATAAGTCAGTTGAATTTTCTATGTTCTCCAACTTGCCACAAATTCCTTGAGGTGAAAGTCATGTCTATTAGATTCTGTGTTGTTTAATAAATATTCTTAGATCAATTATATATCTTATCTAAACTCCTTTGAAAATCACCTAAAAATTCTTCTGTTGCTGGTTCCATATAGTTTCCACAAGTAACTACACAATTATCATTGCTAAATAATATTTTATGTGTTGAAGTGTGAGCAAAAGTGTATTGTGATGTATGTATATTGTGTGTGTGTGTGCATGTGTGTGTGCGCGCACGAGTGCTCGCATGCTCACTCTCATGTGCATGTCTACATGTGTGCCATGGGGGCCAGAGGAGAGCACTGAGTGTTCTGCCCTAGTCTCTGCCCTCCACTATCAAGGCAGTGTCTCTCAGTGAGCCTGGAGTAAGGACCAGTAAACCCCAGGGACCTTTCTGTCCTCTCTCCCCATAGCACGGGGGTTACAGGCACGTATGACCATGCTTGGCTTTTATGTGGGTGCTCAGATTTGGAACTCTGGCCTTCAGGCTCTAACCCACTAAGCAATCTTCTCTGGCCCTAAATATATTTTTTTACAGCATTTCAAAGATTTAGAGGTAAGAGCTTCTAAGTCTTGGTGACTTTGAAGTGATTTTTGACAGATGTTGTTGAATTACTTTAAAATGGATTTTATTCATTTTCATCGCTTCAGCACTCTATCTATGAATTCACTGAGCTCTATAAAGATGCCATAGATTTTTTCCTTGACTGCTTCCTGTCAAGTCTATGTACTTCTATGTATATGTCTACCATAGACTTACAATGGTCCACCACTGTATGTATTTATTTACCAAAGTTATGCACTTATTTTTATCCTCCAGCTAAGACTGTAAGTCCAATAAAGAGGCCTGGGGAAATGGCTCAGTGGTTAAGGGCCCATGTTGCAAACCACGAGGATGCATGTTTGTATCCCAGCACTCACATGACAAGCTTGGTGCCGTGTGCATGCTTATAACAAGTTCTGAGGAAGGGGGATGGAGTTTTATGACTTCAATCCTAGTATAAAAAAAGTGAGTCCCACATTTTGAGTGAAAGCCTGCCTATAAAGGAGTAAATAGAGGGAGATAGATGGGGGCATTGAAACCTTCTGGCCTGTGTGCCCATGACAGATGTACACAGCAGCACAAAGGCACATGCTGGTACTTTCACACACATAAATCTTAAAATAGAAATAATGTTCATATAATAATGATAAAACTGACTTATGCAGAAGCATAATAAAGAGAATTATTATGTTCCAAGTACAGGCTAGAGAATAGAGGAATAGACTACCGAATTAGTTGCATGCGTTATCCTTGAAATCTTAATAGGTTTCATCAATTTAAATGTTCTGTCAGTTTTCAGATTTTAGTGTTTGATATGTGCCAAAGTAGCCAGTGTGCAAGGGCTCACACACTGGTGTCAAGAAGTTGCACAACACTGAGTTAGTTTCCCCTTTTTTCTTAACTGCCTTACTCCATTTTGCACACCAGGCTTCCTTCCCTAAAATTCCTGTGGTTTACCTCTTCAGCATGCAGATTCAATTACTAGTAGTGCTGCCTAAGGCAAGCAGTCATATCAGTGCTAAATCTGTTAAAAAAGAAGGTCCACCACACTTTTCTCAGGTAAAAAGGATTTTATAATTTATAGCAGTTAATAATGACTATTTTACCAAGGGCAGAAAATGAGCAAAGTGGTATGAAAGAGGTTATGGGTTATTTCATAGCAGCCCATTGGCTTGAACAGAAGCTTTAATATGTATGTCTGAAATCCCAGTGCAGTGAGAATATGGAAAAATTAAATGATCTTTAAGAATAGATGTGCAGTCTTCCCTCACAATGTAGATCAATAGTCATCTACACAGAAACAATCCTTAACTGTGTGAGAAGAGATTTTGATATGGAGGGAGATGCAATAAGGCCACAGGGGGCTTCTTAGTTCTCATTTTCACTATTCTACTAACAGAGTTGAAATACATTTCTTCTGCTTTCCCAAATTGAGGCATGGCCTGGGGAATTAGAATTGTTTACAGATTGAATTGGATATGCTCAATGAAGGCTTTTGTATAAAAGGGCCCATAAAATACTAGTAAGAAGCAATTAAATGTTTTTTAAAAAACAGGGTCTAAAACATAAATATACATAGCTGACAAAAATTTTCACATGGAAAGACTAAGTTATAAAATGTCTTAGTCATGACTCATGCAGACACGATGTTTACTCTTCATGGTGGCATAGCTATCTTCATCCCATTCACAAAAAGTAGCCAGTCATGTCTGGCATCTATCAGTGTGTGAATTCCAGACTTACTTAGCTGCAGCAAGTGTTTGCTATGTGGCATGTTCAGAAGGGAGTAGCATCAATCATCCAAGTGTTGCTAATTTCCATTGTAATGAGCACTTGAGAATGAACAGTAAGCTCATTGTCCAGGAGTACATGTGCTATCCTGCTGTTGATCACAATAAACGAGAACCATTTTCAAACTCTCAGGACTTGCCTATGGCATGCAGGCATTTGAGGTATGATTTCTGTGGGTAATTATCTGCTTTGTGTGTGCACAGTGCTTTGTAGTTAACAAAGACTGCCATTACATAACCTCTCCAAGCTGGTGGAAGCAGGGTCTTGACAGTTTAATTATTACTATTATAGTGAAAGCTCACTCTAATCACTTCTGATGAGCTCCCTATCTTTGTCAGCAAATTCAGTGGGTTGAGTCACCTTACTAAATAGCTTACGAGTCCCGTCCTCCATGCTGTCTTGTTGTAGGCTGAGTTCAACCAAATTCTTGTCAACTCTCTCTTTTTAAAGATTTATTTTACTTTTATACCTCTCCCCACTGTGTGTATGTGTGTGTGTGACACACACACACACACACACACACACACACACACGAGAGAGAGAGAGAGAGAGAGAGAGAGAGAGAGAGAGAGAACATAAGAACATTCAGCATACAGGATACAGGTGCCCATGGAGTCTGGAACCTCTTGGAATAGGAGTTATAAATCATTGTGAAACGCCATTTGCTGGTGGGAACTGAGCTCTGGTCCCCTCAAGAGCTCCAGGCACTCTTTTTTTTTTTTTTTTTTTTTTGTTTTTTAAAGACAGGGTTTCTCTGTGTAGCTTTGGAGCCCCTCCTGGCACTCACTCTGTAGACCAGGCTGGCCTCGAACTCACAGAGATCCACCTGCCTCTGCCTACTGAGTGCTGGGATTAAAGGCATGTGCCACCAATGCCCAGCACTCCAGGCACTCTTAATTACTGAGTAATTTCCTTAGCTCCTTAGCTTTTTTTGATCAGTTTCAACATTTAACCATTCTTCTGTAGGCTGACTGTGCATCCTCCTCTTCCTTTCCCCAGTCAATCCTTCCTATCACAGCTAGGATGACCTCTAGAAAGCAAATCTATATGCTGTGTTCCCTATGTGACATCATTTGGTGGCTTACAACTGACTTTAAGATGAAATTTGACCTCCAAACCAGAGTAATCAAGACCCACAGGGCATTTGAGGACCTGACCTGGTATCTTCTCAGAAAGAGTTCAGTCTCTGGGGAACAATGAAAGGCCATGGTGTCCTACTTTCTAATCCCTTCACTAATACATAATTTAAAAGGAGAAAGCATAAGCCATCAAATATGTACAGAAAAAGAAAAACTCACTGGATCCTGAAAAAGCCTTTGACAAAAATCCAACAACCCTACATGATTAAAAAGTCTTGGAGAGATCAGAGATAACAGAAACATACCTAAACAATAAAAACAATATACAGTAAACCAACAGCCAACATCAAACTCAATGGAGAGAATCTCAATGCAATTCCTCTAAAATCGGGAACAAGACAAAGCTGTCCACTCTCTCCATACCTCTTCAATATTGTCCTTGTTCTAGCTAGAGCAATAAGACAACAAAAGGAGATCAAGGCGATACAATTTGGAAAGGAAGAAGTCAAACTTTCACTATTTGCAGATGATAAGACAGTTTACATAAGTGACCTGGAAAACTCTACTAGGGAACTCCTACAACTGATAAACACCTTCAGCAAAGTGTCAGGATACAAGATTAACTCAAAAAAATCTGTAGCCCTACTATATACCAATGACACATTGGTGGAGAAAGAAATCAGAGAAACATCATGCTTTACAATTGCCACAAACAACATAAAATACCTTGGGATAAAGCTAACCAAAAAGGTGAAAGACCTGTATTATAAGTATTTTGAGTCTTTAAAGAAAGAAGTAAATACGATGCCAGAAAATGGAAGGATCTCTCATGTTCTTGGATAGGTAGGGTCAACATAGTAAAAATGGCAATCTTGCCAAAAGCATTCTACAAATTCAATGCAATCCCCATCAAAATCCCAGCACAATTCTTCACAGTCCTTGAAAGAACAATTCTCAACTTTATATGGTAACACAAAAGACACAGAATAACCAAAACAACCCTGTACAATAAAGGAACTTCCAGAGGCATCACCATCCCCAACTTCAAGCTCTATTACAGAGCCATAGGCCTGAAAACAGCTTGGTATTGGCAGAAAACTAGACAGGTAGACCAATGGAATCGAATTGAAAACCCTGATATTAACCCTCATACCTATGAACACCTGATTTTTGACAAAGAAGCTAAAATTATACAATAGGAAAAAGAAAGTCTCTTCATCTTATGATGTTGGCATAACTGGATTCTGGTATGTAGAAGACTGCAGATAGATCTGTATCTTTCACCATGCACAAAACTTAAGTCCAAATGAATCAAAGACATCAACATCAATCCAGCCACACTGAACCTCTTAGAAGAGTAGGTAGGTGGTTCCCTCGAATGAATTAGCACAGGAGACTGCTTTCTGAACATAACACCAGTAGCACAGGCACTGAAATTGACAATTAATAAATGGGACCTCCTGAGACAGCTTAAATGTCTCTTAATAAAAAATTATGTATAAGTTTATGAAAACTAATCTTTTTGTCATTGTTTTTGATGTTTACCTGTGATTTTTAAATCCTTTGAGACTGTATCCTTAAACTTACCTATTATCTACACTGTTACCTGAGTGACCCAGAGTGGAGTTCTCCTGAACCATATATACAGAGTTAGAACTGTGACCAAAGCCCATGCATGCTATTAGATGCCTCCCTCTCCACTGACTTCTGTGGCTTTGTGGTGTGCACAGAATGGGTGGAAAAGAGGTTCTAGAGCCTTTCAGAATCTCTAGTGTTTTTGATGAACACCTTTGACTCTGTCAAGTCTCTGTTTTGCTTTGTGAATGTTTTCTTGGCTGGAAATCTTATGTGTATCTGTTTTCTAAAAAGCAGTTCCCACACCATATTATGGTGGCTATTCAAGGAGAAAAGTGAATTGAATTAACTTATTCCTTACTGTGTTTTCACTCTTAGAACCCAACAGGGTCTCCAGTCTTTATAGATGAGTGGCAGCAATGAGAATGAGTAGAAAGTTGCAGAGCAAAAGATGCCAACTGTTGACAAGGACATCAAACTACAGAAACTTCCTCACACTAAGAAACACATAGAAGAACTCCTCAGCAACTAGTTGGGACCAAAGCTGATCAAACCAACAAACCAGCAATTCCTCTTCCAGTTATAGAGTTACTGAAAGCACGTGCACATCTTCACCAAACACTAAGATCTACAATTAATAAATGGGACCTCCTGAAACTGATAAGCTTCTGTAAGGCCAAGGACACAGTCAACAAGACAAAATGACAGCCCATAGAAGAGGGCTGATATCCAAAATATACAATGAACTCAAGAAACTAGCCACCAATACACCAATCAATGAAATTAAAAAGTGGGGTGCAGAACTAAATAGAGAATTCTCAACAGAGGAATTTAAATGGCAGAAATACAGTTAAGAAAGTGCTCCAAATTTTTAGTCATCAGGGAAATGCAACTCAAAACAACTCTGAGATACCATCTTACACCGGCCAGAATGGCTAAAATAATAATAATAAAAAAAACACCAACGACAGTCTATGCTGGAGAGGATGTGGAGAAGAAGGATCACTCTTCCATTGCTGGTGGGAGTGCAAACTTGTAAGACCACTTTGGAAATCAGTATTGTGTTTTTCAGGAAAATGGGAATCAGTCTACCGCAAGATCCAGCAATTCTTCTCTTGGGCAAATACCCAAAGAATGCACATTCATACAATAAGGACATATGTTCAACTATGTTCATGGCAGCATTGTTTGTAATAGCCAGAACCTGGAAGCAACCTAGATGCCCCTCAACTGAAGAATGGATAGAGAAAATGTGGTATATTTACACAATGGAGTACTACTCAGCAGAAAAAAAGCAATGGAATCTTGAAATTCACAGGCAAATATTTGGATGGAACTAGAAGAAACCATCCTGAGTGAGGTAACCCAGTCACAAAAAGACAAACATTGTATGTACTCACTCATATATGGATTTTAGACACAGAGCAAAGGATTACCAGCCTACAATCCTCATCACCAAAGGAACTAGGTAACAAGAAAGACTTTAAGAAAAAAATTCATGGACCCCAGAGAATGGGAAGGGGCAGGATCTCATGAACTAATTGGGAGCATGAGGGTAGGGGAGAGGGAGCTGGCAGAAAGAGAGGGAGAGAAGAGGAGGAAATGGAGGAAGAGAAAGGTTGAGTTGGGGGAAGAATAGAGGAGAGCAGGATGAGATATACCATAACAGAGGGAGCCATTATGGGTCCCAGGAGAGTTCTGACATTAGGAAGATTTCCAGAGCTCTACAAGGATGACACCAACTGACAATCTAGGCAATGACGGAGAGGCTACCCTAAATGCCCTTCCCCTATAATGAGACTGAGGACTGACTTACATGCCATCCAAGAACCCTCATCCTGTGGCTGATGGACACCCACAGACACCCACTGAACTGACCTCTGGAACCCAGTTGCAGAGAGGGAGGAGTGAAGAACAAAGAGGTCAGGACCAGTCTGATGAAACACACAGAAACAGCTGACCTGAATAAGGGGGAAGCACATGGACCCCAGACTAATGTCTGTGAGGCCAGCACGGGACTGATCCAGACCTCTGAACATGGATGTCAATGAGGAGGCCTCGCCACTCTATGGGGCCCCTTGTAGTGGATCAGTATTTATCTCTGTTGTAAGAACGCTGCCCCGGGGGGGGGGGCGAGGGGGGGAGGGGGGGGGGTGCTGGCGGGGGGTTTGGGGGAGGGGAGGGAGACGGAGAAGGGATTAACATGTGCAGCAAGCTTGTTTCTAATTTGAACTAACAATAAAAAAAAGAACTGTTTATAGTCAGTCAGTAGATCGGAGACAGAGGCCACCAGAGAAAGAATTGGAAACATGTTTAGTTTGGACATGGTTTAAATCTTAGAATTTTCATGATGAGTATCAAATAAGCAGTTGGATAGACGAACCTGAGGCAGAGAACTTGGTATTAATTTGGTGTGGTTATCATGGCATATGGTGAGAAGGGGACAAAAAGCAGTGAACTATCTCAACACTTAGCCAACTAGACAGAAGGAGGGGCTTCTCCCTGTGAGTGAGTGTGTGTGGTT